GAGGGGTTGGGGGGAGGGTGGTCTTCCTTTTCCCATCCTGAATTCATTTGCTGGAGCATAAACATTTCTGAATGAACTTTGAACTTGCCTGTATTTTTATACAAGCATTGGATGACCTGAAAAACATTTGTGAGATGCAGAAAGAAATATCTCGGGAACACATCTGGTTGATAAAAATCAGGCTATCCTGAAATATTTTATATGTTCTCGAAAGAAGCTGAACATTAGACTTCCCCAAAAACTTGAATCCATTTCCAAAGGCTTCCATGGTAATTGTCCACTCCCAATTCCATTTTTATTTCTCAACTCTAAGAAAGTCCATGTCCCTGACCCAGGTGATCTGACCTGACATTTGGCTGGACCTCAAATATCTGCATCAAGTCCTTCCCTGAAAGTCTTCAAATCCAAACAATCGCTCAATTCTCCAGAATCTAGTTCATGTAAAACAAAGACCTATGAGCAATTTATCATGGGGTGAAAATGTAAGCTCTAAATCTCTTTTATCCACCAATTAGATCTTGAAGAGCACAAGGTTATATCCAAACACTGCACGAGCTGTGCGTAAGAATAGAATTATAAACATTCCTTTCATATTTACAGAACTGCACAATCTATCTGGGAAGAAATGCTTTACATACTAGAAATAATATGAAATTCAGTAAAAATTGAAGTGCATTCTTTAAAATTATGAGAGTTAGGCCCTCCCTGGTGGCACAGCAGGTTAAAGCACAGCACTAAGAAGCTTAAGCCACTTCCGCATGAGTTCGAGCCCCACCTGCCCCCGGAGGAGATCCACATGGCGGCAGACCTCTCCTGACCCGCCCGCTGCTCCCCTCAGCAGTGTACTTTGATCATTTGCCTGTTCTGCCCCTACTCTGACTCTGGTGAATCCTCTCACCCTCCACATCTCTGGCCTGTACCCCGGTTCTGTATGAATAAATAAATAAATCTTAAAATAATAAAATTATGAGAGTTTAAGCAATCTGTCTAAATCACTATGCAGAGCCTCGCTGGTGGCACAAAGGGTTAAAGTACAGCACTATGAAATTATCCACAGCCACTGCAGCAAGAGTTCAATCCCCAGTTGGGGAGGTGACCCACGTGGCACAGCAGATCTCTCCTGTCTTGCCTGCTACTCCCCTAAGCAATCTATTTCAGTACATCAGCCTGTTCTGCTCCCCACTCTTTCTCTGGGGAATCCTTTCACACACACCCCATACCTCTGGCCTGTACCCCAGTTCTTGTATGCATAAATAAATATATCTTTTTTAAAAATTAAGTTAAATGAATTTCAAAACCTCCAAGGAGGACATCTACATTTAAATATTTCACTATTTCTTATTTATTATCTTTAATATAATTAGTTGTGAAAATGTTAAGTATCTTTTTTTCATTGTAAATAGAGTACTAGCCCTGTTTATGGAAAATCTGGTGGGAAAGACAGAAGTTTATAAACCTTTTACAGCTGTGCATATGTGTTTGTTACCTCACTGACAAGAAAAATGTCTGTAGATTAGGCTTTATATCTACATAGTATATACTATTTCATGGAGATGTTTATATCTGATTTAGCTGTGGAAAGGGCTTTGCATTTAACATGTGGGGTCCATCATGGAGGCAAATGACTAAGTCACTAAATGAAATGTAATTAGAGATTGCTAAGGATACCAACGTTTCTAGAAAAAATACCAATAGAGGCCCTCCCTGGTGGTGCAGTGGGTTAAAGCACAGCACTGAGAAGCTAAAGCCACTTCCGCATGTGTTCGATCCCCACCTGCTCCGGAGGTGACCACATGACGTGGCAGACCTCTCCTGACCCGCCAGCTTCTCCCCTCAGCAGTGTATTTCGTCAATCTGCCTGTTCTGCTCCCAGCTCTGTACCTGGTGAGGGTGAGGGTGAGGGTGCTCCTCTCACCCTCTGCAACTCTGCCTGTACCCCAGTTCTGTATGAATAAATAAATAAACCTTTAAAAAAATATACCAATAGATTTGGGATAAAGAGGGTCTTCTCTTAAAGTATACTGCTCAAATAGTAAGCTCACTAGAACAATCTTTTTTACAAAGACCAATTCATTCAGAAAAAAATAATATGCATTCACACATTTGTATCAAGATCACAACGTTAATTTCATGCATTTTTGTAAAAAAAAAACCAAAACACTAATTCATTCAATGTAATGTAGGATTATTTTAGTGCTGTGTTTTTGACTTTCTTGTAAGATGGCCTTGCTGTGTATCACATCCAGGCAACAGGAAACTCTCAAGGCAAATTGAAGGACATGAACAAATTCTGTACACATCACATTAGAATCCACACAGCATGTTTAGCAGTTAAAAAAAACTAAAGGTTAAGGTTAACCTATTGCATAAACATTAACATTTGCTTTCTGTGTCCATGTGTCAAACATTTTAATGGCAATTAATGTGTCATTAGGCTCATAAAATAAACTAACAAGAAGCAGAATCGTGGAGTGTTTCCTCAGGGAGGGGTAAAGATTACAACTGCAGATTCAGCATAGCGCTGTACAAAATGGCTGCCAAGAGTGTAATAAGCGTGGTTATTACAACTAGCTGTTGTAATGACCAGGTTAACACACAATTAATTTGTGAGGAGTTGCAAATTTAAGAACTGAACAAAACCTCAGCTGTTGGGCAGTCTTTAACCATCCCAAACCCTCTTTGTACTCTGCCTCATCTTATTTCCCATAATTCCTAGCACCTACCTCAATCATACCACTTGCCATCTTGGATTATCACTGATTATCATCCTCATGGGACAATAAACAGGTAAAGTTTCCATCTTAAAAAAAATTGTAGGCTAGCTACTTTGAAGCTAACTAATGAATATTTTCCTTTAATATCACTATATAAAATGATTAAACAAAATACTGATGGTTTAACCTGAGGAAAAAAGAATACTCAAACTCCTTCAATTTATGTGTGCCTTTAAACTCCATCACTACAGGTTATTATGAACTTGGTCTCACCAGAGAAATGAGAGAGTGATCTGGCTGAGGCATTTCATCCAGGAAATATAAGGCATTCAGCAAAATCCAATCTCTCCAAAGCTACTCCCTACTTCCTGTTACCAAGAAACAGAAAAAGCAGGTCATGATAGTGAATTAGGACTAGATCTGATGACCCAGTGCAACTGCCCAGTCTGGCATCATATTCAAAGTCCTTTGTTTCTTTTAAGTCACTTTTGCATGTTGTTCCAGAACCTGAGGAGAAAGTGTGTGGTGGAACAGTTAAAAACTACATAGAACTTGACTTTGACTTTCCAACCACATCCTTGTTATGTGTCTTGAAGTCTCTTGAGACTCACTCTATCAGCACAAAACACAGACAAGGACACCATATCATCACCACTGGGCAGAATTATTATGAGAACAGGGACGCTCATAGGAGAGGAAAGACTGCAAAAGCTTATAAAACTTGAGTGGTTACCTTCACCTTTGTCAAGCAACAAAGGACAGGACAAGATCCCCCCAATTTTTTCCTTTTCACTGACAGAAGCAAGTCTCTGCATTTTTTTTTCCCAAAGAGAAATGTTTTTCTTGAGCCAAAGAGTTACTACTATATTTTTGCATTATTATGTTCAAGAAGAGGCCACAGTGTGATGAAAGTGAGATTTTGGATTGTGCATGACTTTTCAGGGCAGTGAGACACAGCTCCCTGAATCAAAAGAGTGGAGTAGCTAGTGTGACACAGTGAGGTCATCTGGATGAGCTACAACCCTTTAAAGTGGCCCTGTTCTTTGAGCTGATTCTTTCATTTTGTCCTCATAACTGCAGCTTAAAATAACTGTTATTGAACTAGTTTTCATCTCTTTTTGGATCTCTTCAATAGCATACAACACAAGTTTTTAAAGACAAAGTGAAAAAAAATCTACTAAGGGCAGCAACACAGATCTTCCTGGTCCTCAGAAAGATGAAGATATTTCTTTTTTTTTTTTTTTTTAAGATTTATTCATTTGTGCATACAGAACTGGGGTACAGGCCAGAGACGCGGAGGGTGAGAGGATTCACCAGAGACAGAGCGGGGAGCAGAACAGGCAGATCGACGAAGTACACTGCTGAGGGGAGCAGCGGGCGGGCCAGGATAGGTCTGCCACGCCATGTGGTCACCTCCGGGGCAGGAGGGAATCGAACTCCTGCGGAAGCAGCTTTAGATTCTCAGTGCTGTGCTTTAACCCCGCTGCGCCACCAGGGAGGGCCCTGAAGATATTTCTTTACAAATTGCAAGATGCATTGATGAATCTACCTAACTGAAGTTCATGTAATTATGACACTGGCTTTTTTCAAATTTATCTAGGTCTTGCAGATTCAGAATACGTCACTATTCGATCCTTCTGCCTAGAAGGCTGCATGTCATGTTCAGCACCTAGAATAGTTCCCTTTGGGCTCTTTCCTGGTTTCTTTCCCATCCTGCTTCTTTCTCTCCCTTCATCTCTCCCAAATGATGGCAAATGAAATCTTCTTGTGGAACAGAACAGTGTGGAGTTATCATTAACTCCTCCCTCTCAC